TCTTTCATCGATATTTATATCGATTACCATTTATCAAAAAGAGTGGAACATGGTTATAGCGGTTTTCTTTGTTGTTTTTCCCCTTCAACACGCTTTCGGCACAAGTTTAATTTGTTTCTTGAATGCTTCAGTTTTATTTCACAAATTTAAAGTAGTAGTATCTCCTAGGCTTAAATTTAATTCATTTATTAATAAAAATATGTCCAACAAGTAAACCGGTTTAGCAACTGAACTGACGCCATCGAAAATATTTCTCAGTAGTTTTTTTTTTTTTTTTTTTTTTTTTTTACTTTTAAAATTTCTAACTTCCTTTTCTTTTTCCCTTGAAAAGTTCCACCTTCTTCGCCCTTCTCTCTTGAAAAGTGCCAAATTCCTTTTTTTTAATCCATAGTCTTGTGAATGCTTTTCGCCTCAACAAACGTCGTAGTAGTACATAAACTTATGTTCAGCTGTATTCCTATAGCGCTATATCCCCTCATTTTTGAGCTGAATAAACATGCTTTAACATTAAAATCCAATTCCTTCGACTTCGAAGCCATTTTATCATAGTACGAGTATTAGCAAAATAACGTTTTAAAAGTTTTGAAGTAACACTTCAGACTTTATAGTAACATGGTTTCTTAACAGTCTAAACACGTGACCCCAACATAACAAAATTTGCGTAGCAGTTAGAACTTTGCCAATACTATTTTGACATGCAAATTTACGTTTTTGGTGTATATTTTGTGTAAAAGGCATATTAAATTGAAAGTTTCATTAGATTTGTGTGTTTATTGCCTCCTGTGTTCGGTATGTCCAGCTAAAATTGTCAAGCATTTCTTTTGTTAGGTAATATGATCAATCGTAGGCAATTGCCAATACTTTTTTACCCACTTTATATTTGAATCAACATTTCATCGACGCATGTACAAATATTAAATATTAATGTTATGTTTTCATTGTCTATCTCTTACCTAACTACCCTAACCTTTTGCTCAAGCGTATTAGCGACATTACAGCTTAACTGACTTCCATCGTAAATTAATAGCACAATTATGATAACCAGTTTAGAGTTTATCCTACGACTTGCAAAAGTACAGAAACTAAAATTTCATAGCTTTCATTACACTCTTTAAAATTAACAATGCTTCAACTCGACGCTAACACACTACCCCTCTTCTTGTGCGGTAACTGAAATCACATAATTAAACTAAAAATTCGAAGATATGCACGAGTCGTAGAACTAAGCTACAGGGCTCAGATAATTCCTGTTTCTTAAACCCACGTCGGAACTAGTGGCAGCAAGTAAATGCAGTTATTCCACGAAAACTCCGGGAGCAGAAGCTTGAGCAATAGAGGTAACGGAAATAGCCTAACCCTCTCTAACTTTCCTACTGAACCTCGGTTTTTCAACTCTTTCTTCACAAGGTAGAATTTGCATTCCTTTAAGCGCGCTACCAAATTTAAATATTCTGGCACTGACGATTAGGGGAATGGAGGCTTATAGGAAAGCTTAAAATTAAAACTTAACTTGTTAGTTAAAAATAAAGATAAATTCCTACATACTGAAAGCAACCCAACTCAAAGCAAATGGTTAAAATAAAAAATTTGAATTACATGTGGACCTAGCAGTCACAAAAACTCAAAAGTTCAACAGAAGCAGAATTCCGCTAACTTGCGGTAAACACAACGTATATTCGAACTAAATTAAATACAAAATAAAAATTCAACAAGCCTACTAAATCTAGATTCGCTTCTAAGTGTTTGTTAGGGGTAAGTAGAAGCAATATTGGCTAATTCCGGCTCAGATGGAATGAGTGTTTTTTTTTCCTCTCAGGTAACAACATAGTAATCCACGTTCGGAAAATCCACCGAGATTCTGAAAACAGTTTCTTTCCCTAATTAGGGCCATGCGCTGAAACTTCAACAGGAATTGCAACGGAATGTAGAAAACATACATGTCTCTTACTCCTAGAGATATAACTCCTGAACTTTGTTTCCCTTTTTGATTGACACATGTTAACTGATTTGATGGATTTCTGAAATAGGCAGAAATGTAAAGCAACTTAAGAAAAGTTTTGGGTGGGGTTAGGGGAACCGTTTTCTTCTGACAACGAATAACATATTTTGCATTGTGAATTTAAATGCTATCTAAAATCGAGAATTTTAAATATCGTGTTTTTTGCTCTTGAACCATAAAATTTAATTCAGCAGCAATATTACAAAACAATTTAAAAAGAGAATAGCTTTAGAATTTCCGACACATAGTCTCGCGCGGTGGAGATACAAATGTTTTCTTTTTCGTACAGTGTTGCCATTGCTCGCTTTGAAATAGTTGAGTTTGTTAATCAAATATTCTCTAAAGTTTGCAAAATATGAAATAGATAATAAAACAAGTTCCAAATTAGGGTTTCCAGATGCCCATATTCGGGTGGAGGATTACGTTATTCAAAATTGGATGGCTCTAGGTACCATAAATTTATCACAGTGCGAGAAACATACATATATTTATGCAGATTCTTTATTATTTAATTTCTTTAAATATAATGCAAGGCTCTAACATTTGAGGGCAACAGTTTGAAAAGTGATACGCCATTTATAGTGATTCGACACAAAATGCCAACAGGAAATTAACAGCCCTTCTGGGCTAACGCCTTTTGGGCTAGAAGCTTCGAAAAATAGTATGTATATCAAGCAGGGGCGTAGCTAGAGTTTCCAGCACCCGGGGACAACTGAAGAATTTGCGCCCCTTTCTGTATGCCAAGAATGGAAAACATTTCATTAAAAAATTTCGTGGCATCAATTTGGCGCCCCTTGGATGCTGCGCCCGGGGACAGATGTCCCCCCTTGCCCCACCCTAGCTACGCCATTGATATCAAGGTAGTTAATGTTTAGAGATGCTGCACGACAATTCTGTTCGAAATTCAAAGCGAATTTAGAAAACGATGATTGTGATTCTGACAGTGATGAACCTGTAAATGAGAAAATAATTCTGAAAGAAAAAAAAATAGACGCTCGAAGTTAAACTCTATTATGAATCTCTTGTTTTTAAAAAAGAATGGTTAGATTTATTCTGTGCATTGAGGAATATCCAGATAATCCGAAGTTAGTATGCATATCAAATCAGTTTCTATCAGTATCAACTTTTAGTCTGGAAACAAATGATCACAAATAAAAACTTTCTTAAGGCATTTCTGATGTCAAATTTAATTTCAGAATGATATAAAATGACTTATGTCTGTTTTATCAGATAATGTGGCTTGTATTTCTGTATAAAAATAGTTCTTTTTTTTTTTTTAAAAGAAAATCTAAATTGCATTGTTAATCAATAACGCATGTAAAATCAACTCCTGTAAAAGATACTTTTGTGCACAAATACATGATGTGTTGTAAAGCTGACATACTAGTAAGTCGCATTTAAACATCTATTAATTCCTGTTTTGAATTTTGAGGTTTCTTGATTTAAAAGCAAGACAATTCCTTCCTCTGTATAGTTAGCACGATTTAAATTAATAGAAAATTTATTAAAGTTTATTTTTAGAAAAATAAACAGTATTGTTTTACTTAAAGACATTTGAAAAATTAAATCAAATTGCAACTCTGCTAAATCTAAAGTTGATTATAGATACAACAGTTAAAACAAGGATTGTTTTACTCCATAAAGGTTAATTAAAGCGAATTCATTAAAAACAATTTTATTTTTGAAATGAAAGAAAGCAAACTAATTCCTTGCCCCCATATTTTTCTTTATCATTTTACTTCTTGTACCGTGTATGAGCAATTTATAAGCCATAATAAGAAATTTAGCCAGAAATGTTGACTGATATTTTCAAGGGTATCCAAATATTTACTGCTATGCTAGAAAAGGTGAAACTGCTTAATTTTCTTTAAATTAAAAATATTTAATTTATTATTTACTTACTTAATTTTAAATTCAAAATATTTAATTTATTGTTTAATTACTTTATTTTAAATTAAATTTATTTACTTAATTTTTAAAAATTTGTCCATTATCGGATTACGCCCTTTTGATCGCTTAACTGCATAGTTTTCAGATAAATATTTAAAAAAAATAAACATTAATTAAGTAAATAATGCAAAAATACTTTGAATTAACATTTTTATGCAATAAAATATTCTTTATTATTTTTTATAACAAAACTTTTAATAACTTTTATTTGCTGCAACGAAATTCAAGCACCCAAGAAGAAAACAAACCGTTTATGAATGCATTTTAAGTTAAAAGTTTTTATCTTTAGTATTTAAGCCATTTTCTTTCTTGGTTGCATGCTAATACCTTTAAAAGAGTTATCTGTGTCTCAGGTGCTCAAAACAAATTTATTTATTTTATGTCTTTCCTCTTTCATGCTTTATTTTTCAATGATATGTAATAAGGTTTGCATAAACTTCTGGATATAAACAATTTATAATTGTAAAGTGAGAAAAGGGTTTTAAATTTTGATTTTTTTAATAAATGAACCTCATTTATGAAACCCATATTATGTATATATTTTCCATTAAGCATCCACTTATTTATTGCACTAGTTGTTCTTTCTCATTATATTTTAAAATTTTTGAGGTAGGTCTTAATCCTTATAGTTACACTAAATGGAACGTTTCCTTCTACTTAAGTTATATATCAACAGTGTTTCTATACACTTTGCTTTACGGTTAAAGTGACCTCTATGTTTTAACTCCTAACAACTTACTAAAATACGTATCTCAAAAGTGTAAAAACTTTCATCGAATTGGAAGCAGAGCAATTTAAGTTCTTATACGATGTAATGCTAATGTTTTGTTTTCAGTAACATCTAAAGTCTAGTCTATCGTCTAAAGCTTAATGTGACAAATCCTTCAAAATAATTTCTTCCTACTGACGTTACAGCCAAGACCTCCGCAAGGAAATTCCAATTTCCTACCATCGGTCAAGTCTTAAGGAATAACTTCCAAGAATCGAGCAGAAGCAAAATGGTTGGCTGTCAGCGCCCTCTTGCGACAAGCTGCTGTTTCCATCCGGGGAAGTCCTTTCGAGCCGAACGACCGCCTCCTGAGTTCTCCGTGAGAAGCTTGAAATTGTATCTGTCTTCTTGGGAGTAGATAAACCTGATGGGTTAAAAGACGATTAAGTGACTGTGCAAATGATGGAGAAGCCTCTCTGGTATTGGTTTCAATGACTAGGACATTTCGAAGAGAAAATGACCTGAAACATCCACCACGGCTGCGCTCCATCACGACACTTGTGTGACCTCATTTCTCGTTATCTCCTTAGAAAAAAGTAAGTGGGTCAAAACTGATGTACCGCAGTATGAATAACAAACAGATATTTAGAGTAAGTACAGATTTTGTATCTGATAATAGCGGCGCTGTCATTCTAGGGAGTACGTTAACATTATAATAAGATATTTAAAACTTCAGAGCTCACTCGTGAGCGATAAAGTACTGTCCAGGAAACTGTATGTGGCGTTCCTGCGCATAGTGTTTAGTGATGTATTTCAGTATAGCCGCCGCGAAAGGATGTAAATTCTAGATGAACTGCAACCTTTATTTGAAAGCAGTGCCTTACTGGCTATTAACGCCGATAACCCTTCTGCTTTAGGTCCGCTTGCAAATGGGACAGAGAGGGACTCTTCTTTTAACCATTGTGCATGTATGGTAATATGGATAAGGGACATTAAATATTACGGGTAAAATTATCTGCAGGATTAATAAATGATCCGTTCTCAAGCTATGCATACAAAGAGACTTAATTAAAATATGGAAAATCTTTGGGTGAAATGTACAGATTTAGTTGCATTTATTCTTACCGAAGAATGCAATATGTTAGCAATCGAAAATTGCGTGATTTCATGGAGCTTCATTAACATAAAGAGAACATGCAGTATCGAAGCATAACTAAATTGTAGCACTTAGGATGAGAATATCTAAGATGGAAATCGCAATATTTGCATTTCTTAAATCTAGCAAATATATCATTAAAATACAGCATGCAAAAATGAAATTAGAATCTATGCATTTCCAAAAGAGTTATTATACAAAATAGAACTTCTTTTATTCCTAAATTAAAAATTTATTTGCTTTCCCAGAATGAAAAATAAGAATGTACGTAAGAAATTTTTCGAGATCAAGAATTTAGCTATTCTTGATCTAGGAAAGTATTTAAAGTTTTTTAACTGGCTGGAATGTATTTAACTTATCAGGGTATCAAAATCTATAACTAATTTTCAGCGAAATACATATATTATTTAGATCAATGCTTAATTTTTTTATCGAGCTCAGTGATCCCACTTATTCAAAATCTATGTCAATTATCAAATTTTTCGATAAAAAAATTCTCAGTCCCTTTTACAGGTCAACTTAATGCAAATGTCCGATCCTTAATTAATTGGCAAATTATCATCTACATATTTAATTTAGACGAAAGTTAGGAGGAGCTTCGGCGCAGGATTTCTTATGAGACTTACGTTTTTTGGCAGAAATCGAACACAGGTTTTCAGTATTCTGACTGGCGACCACTATAATACGAGAATACGTAAGAAGAATGTCTTTAAGATTTTTTTGCAATTCCTGTTTTTAAGTAGTTTTCAACTTTTGAAAGCGTTATGAAATTATGCCACAAATTATGACATACAGTATGTGAGAAGAAGGCATTGCTAGAAAGGAAATAGATTTTATTTTATTGCAATGATCCTGCATTTTATTTCAGCTATCTGAAACAGAAACTGAAATTTTAGATACCATTCGTAATAGTATTAAAAGCTGCTTTAATCACTTAATAAAACTGCAGTTAGAAAAGAAAATGCTGTAAATAATTCTTTCGGTAACAGGCATTTTAACAGTATAGCTGAAGATATTATATCTTTGATCTTTAATTACGCTTAAATCGTTGTAAATTTGTTGACAGATTTCTTATTCCAAAAATTTAATCACACATTAATATCATTGCGTGTGTAACAGATGGAAATCTTAATAGGTTAGAGTTTGTTCTTTTTAAATTAAAGAGCAAAACAGTAAGTATTATATCAAGTAAAAACGTGAGTTGTATGAAACCCAAGTGCACACTATCTTACAGACATAAGCATAGCTATAAGACATAAGCCATGTAAGCATAGCTATATTAGACATATAATTATAGATATATAAGTATAGCAATATTAGACACATAACCATAGAAATATAAGCATAGATATATTAGAAATAAGCATAGCTATAACATAATCATAGTATAGTTATAAAATGGAGACATTATATTAACAGGAAAGTGATGTTTGTATTCAGTAACGTTAATTATGTTAAAAATAGTCTGTTAGGTTAAAAAGCTCAACAAGCCTTGTACTATCAAGAGTTTCATACAAATTAGATACATGCTGATAAATCTATTGAAATAGAAATTTAAAGTTCACAGGTTAATAGGCTTAAAATATGCTTTTTTCTTTTACTTCAAATTGTATTTGAATATTCAACTATGCAAAAAGAACCGCCTTAGTCATATTTCTGAAATGTCTGACCGGGACAATTCACTATCTCTTTCATGGAAAAGCTGACATTTTAGTCGTGTTTTGATTCGATCCTTCCCATTATAATTTTATTACCTATTTTATATTGTGAATGGTGGTCGGGAATTCTGATGTCACAACTGATAAGGTTCTATGAAAGCCGAAGTGTGGCAGATATTTAAATCACTAAGTGCTGGAAAGTTAACGACAACTATTTAGCCTTAAAATACAAAATTGCGTAACTTTGTAAACTTTGAAAATTGTTTTCAAAATCTGACATTTAGCATGGACAGACTATTTTTAACATAATTAACGTTACTGAATACAAACATCACTTTCCTGTTAATATAATGTCTCCATTTTATAACTATACTATGATTATGTTATAGCTATGCTTATTTCTAATTAGGAATCTTAAGACATTCTGAATGTCCTGAAATGTGTTCTTTTAAATGATAAAAGCTTTTAATTCATCAAGCCAATTGAGCTTCGTTTTCTTAGTATGTAAGACAATTACCTAGAAAAGAGACTTAAAACGATCATTGCACAGTTTTTTATTTTTGATTTCTTTCTGATTAGAGTAGTCTGGTAAAATATAGGGAGAAAAATCGAAATCTGGGCACTATCTATTTAAATTGCTGCATGAAAATTGAATATTAAAGCTATCGTAATTGCTTAAATTTTTAATTGCTGAACTTATCAGGGTTTTTCCCTTATACAACAAAACCTGCCAAAATATTTTCTGCAGAAAGCCATATGCACTCAAGTTACCTATTGGCCGCAATTAAATATGCTGTTCTCTCAGCTGAACCAAATGTGCTCTTCTTATCTCTTATAAATAAGCCAGTGTTCTTGGCTTACTTAGAAGCCAGCGTTCTTGGCTTCTAAGTAAGTCACTCAGCCAATATAGCGTTTCAGTGACGCTAACTGTCGTTTCGAAGGGCTGGGGATCGAATCTCGGAAAAGGCATGGATGTTTGTGAGCATATAGTATCCGTGCGGCAAGAGGGCACTCAAAATATGTAACGAGCTGAAAGTTCTGTGGAATTTTATTAGAGGAAGAGGGATGGGAGTTCCTTAGACCGTCTAGGAGACGTTCTGTCTCAAAACGGGGGGGGATCTGCACAGTTACTGTGGCGAAATTATACTTGTACGACCAATGGAGAAATTCTAGTGTTCCGCTCACTTCTGCGTGTACCTGGGTTCAAAGTAAATCTTTTGACTATAATGTTCTAAAATATGTCATTTTATTGCATTTGTTTCTTTAACTAGTTTGTGGGGTTTCAATTTTTTGTCTAACAGCTAAATGTGTAGGAACCTCGTGAACAGGTAAGCAAAAAATCGCTTTAGTTCAGTACTTAAAACTCAAGAATTACCTTTATTTCTCAAAATAAGAACTTAACACTTGGCTCCTTTCTCAGAACGTACAGAAAAGAATTCACTTGGGCTTGAACTCAAGGTAATAAGAAAAAAAAACTTAACTAATGCTTAACTAAAAAGATACAGCCGAAGCTATCAAGATTTCTAAGTAGTTGGTCCCTAAATATCAAATAAGTTGGCAAAGCTATCAAGGCCTGAAATACGGCCGAGTGTAGTAATAGCTTAGAGAGTGCGTAGCCAGACTGGAAACGCGCGCTAGTCAGAACCTCTGGCTATCTAACGAAGTCAGTGGAACTTCGACTTAAATACTGCTATTACTCATTTGCATAAAACGCGATTCTAAAAACACATTCTGGTAGGAAATTCTAAGCTGAAATTAGGAAGGATAGGAACGTAGCTTTAACTAAAGATCACTGTTAAAAACTTAGGATAAACTTAGGATACAAGTTAAACAGATATATTTCTTAATTAACATCGCAATAACAACCTTGTACTTAGCATACATATATTAAAACACTCAATCGATTTCGAGGGCAGGTAAAGGTCCCTCCTCATCAGGAGAACGAAATTACTAGAAAATGAAATCACGAAATGAAAGTTTACAAAAAATGAACGAAATTACTGGAACTTCTCCTGATGAGGAGGGACCTTTACCTGCCCCCGAAATCGATTGAGTGTTTTAATATATGTACGCTAAATACAAGGTTGTTATTGCGATTTTAATTGTTACATTGGCGTGTTTATCTTCTATTCTAGATATATTTCTCATTTTAGAAAATTTTTTTGTTATGGTCCTGATGAGCTGTGACGAAAGGCTGTTTTTTCATTTGCATTATCAAGTTGGTGCATATATCTTTCTAGACAGATTGGTTTGAACTGTGTTGTCCTGTAACGGAAAAAATTCAAATTTTATTTCTATTATCTCAAAAGCTTATTTGAAACTGTCAAGCCATATTGCATTAAGCAAAAGGCAACAATGTGATATTTCACTATAGCATGAGAATGTAGATTATAAAAATTGAGTTACGAAGATACCATATACATCTTAAAATTTATGTAAACTAAGAAGCAAAAACCAAGTGCTACACTTTAATTTCAACTATATATGTTATTTAACAGTTATCTGTGAAACCCGTACGCGAAAAAACACGTTAATAAGATGTTTATTGAATTTTACTAGATCGATGTTTCTAATAACCTAATAAGCGATCTCAGTAATTAATCTTCATGATTGGAAGATTAGCAACACGTATAGAATCCAATAATCTACATACGATGAGTACTTTTTTAACTCTATAATCATATCCGAAAGCATATCCATTTATTAACATGGGGCATTTTAGTACAAACTATGTCAGCATTTGTCCTTTGATATGTTGAATTTTTGAATGATATGTATTTGC